TCCCTGGTTAGGATTCCAGGGGCGGTACTACCTTAGTCACTTCAGCTTGTAACAAAAATAACATAGTCTCTGTGCCCTAAGCATCAGAAAGTATCTCTGCCATAGTTCTGAAAGGCAGGGTTCTGGCTAGTTCATTTCCTGGAGAGGGCTCCCTTCTTTCTTTGTTTAGTATGCACATGACATATGGATAGATCCTCTTGTATATTGCATGTTAAAAGTCACTCATTAAAGACCAAACCTTTGTAATATGCTAACCAAATTACTCCATCACCACCAAAATGAGAGCAAAGATCTCAACAGGAATTTCAGGGGAATGCCTCCAGTCCTCAGCAGATGTCACACTCACTGCTGGGGAGTGGAGAGTATCCTATGTGACTTCCTAGAAAAAGGAAACCGGAGTTTGTGTCCGGCATTCCCTGAGTTTCTCTTTTGCTGATTTTACTTGTATTCTTTGCTGTGATGCAGTGAAACTGTGTGCAATACCCTGTGGGTTCCCGTTTGAGTCATCAGTTATAGAGTTGTGTGAGATGCTCTGTCCCTGTAGCTTACTACAGTAAGTCAGAGGAAAAGAGATCCCAGTGCTGTTGCTCTGACACCGTTTGTAGATGTTTAAGTTTTCACAGCATTGTCCAAGAGGTTCTCCAGTGAAAAACCAAATATTTTTCTCAGCATAATATTGGGACACTTTCCCAACTCATCCTAAAAATGGGTTTAGTCCCATCTGTTCATGTAAGGATGTATTCCTTAGCTTGTTTCAAAGCATTTCTCTAAGGCTCTAATGATTTGCATGGTACCTACCCTTATAAATTTGGATATTAATTGAAGTTATCTCTAACAGCATTCAAAAGACTTTGTCCTTCAGTTCTTCCTGCCTCTCTACAGTCCCTAATCCCACATGCCCTGTCCCCATGCATATTCTCTGAGCTATGCAGAGCTGTCTTCCATCACTGATGTCTCGCTAGTTTCATCTGCAAACTATAACAAAGAATATTCTTCAGGTTTTGTTTATTGCTGTGTACTACTAATACTGTGTACTAGGGAGCTTATGTATAAATTTAAATACATTATAATGGTTTTTAGTATTTGTCTTAAGCAGAGTCTGGAATCTAAACTTATGAATTCACAATGGCTTTAAGAAAGTTAAAACACAAATTGTATATCTGCCAAATAGTTACCTGCGGTGATTTATAATTAAATTATTAAGGAATAATCTCTTTCTTTGGGACATTATGTCTCCCAGGCTTCCTTTCATGTGTAGGTGAACTATTAGTTATTTCTTTCTCTTTGAAGGTACTTCCACACCAGTTATGACATCCATACAGCTGACAGCCACACACACTATGGGCATACTGATTATTATTTGAATTTTAGCACACTCTGAGCTAGTTTCATAGTTCCAGGAAGCTACAAGTTCACATGAGAATGCAAAATGAGGTGGGAAATCTCTCTCTGATAGACAGACTTCAAAAGGAATTGTGCAAGTAACTCAGGGCAGATCCCACACTGGCATAAGCTCCATCAAGCTTTAGTTTGGCCAGTTTTGAACAACTGACCAGCTTTTATGTCTCTGGGGTCTTGAACTTTTTAAGATACAAAGAATTTACATACGAAAATACTAAAACTGTAAAGCTTACTATATTGAAAGCATAACTTTTTGCTTATGCTTAGAACAAAATATTTACTCCATGTTTAATAGAGATAGGAATTAAAATGTAGCAGCCAACTCACAAGAATGAAGTTTTCTCCAGAATACTCACTAGCAAAAGTAGGCTGTTTAATCTCTTCCTGACCAAAACAACAGCAGGACTGTCTACAGAGAGTATCTATAGTCATTCCTACTTGGGTGAAATAATTCAATTCTAGTCTAAATGCCAAAAAAAAAGTGCCCCCCCCTTTTTTTTAACCGGGAGAGCTCAGGGACCCTTCATGGCAATTTTTTTTTCGAGGATTTGTATCTTAGACCAGCTTAAGCCTTAAAGCATGATTCGCAGATCACTGTGACAGAAGTACCCAGCTGGGTCCGTGTACATGTTTGACCATCACATGCGTGCTGCTCTTCCAAAGGACCCACCTCTGATTCCTAGCTCTCACATCTGAAAGCTCACAACCTCCCGTAACTCCGGCTCCAGGGATTTCAATGTCTCTAGCCTCTGCAAGCACCTGGAATCACTTGTATAAACCTACACACACACACACACACACACACACACACACACACACACAATTTTAAAAGGTCCGTAGAGTGTTGACTAGCTGATGGGCTATAAGGTGCTCTTATATGAAGCCACAACAAAATGTCCCTAATATCTGTAGAAGAGTTTACAGGATACCATTGCCACCAAAGCACAGGAACTCAAGTCCTGGATATAAAACTGTATGTTATTTGCATGAAATCTGTACTTCTCCACATATTTTTACCATGTCTAGATTTCTTATAACTGTTAATGTAATGGAAATGCTATATAAATGATCCTTATACTGTATCCTGTAGGGAATAACAAAGTAGGCCTGTATATGTTCAACACACACTTGATTTTTTTCTGAATATTTCTAGTTAAATCCATAAATAAATTAACTAGAAATATTCAGAAAAATATTCTAAATATTCCATAAATATAGAACCCTAGAATATGGTGTGGTTTGGGTGTTAATCACTGATGAACAAACATGCCAGCACGACATGTGCATGCTTGGTAACAGGCAGAAAGTAACTGATGCACAGGTAAAATCATAGCTATACTAGAAAATTCCACCATTCCAGCTCCATAGACTTGGAAGCTGGGAAGGATTCATTTGCAGTGAATTCATCTGCACCCATATGATTAAAAAAAACCAAGAATTTAGTTCTCTGTGGGTGGATAGCTTTCCTACCCCCATACCAATGTTTGCAGTAGTTCCTACTATACCACTGTAGCACCTGACAGAAACAAGGGAGGAAGAATTTCCTCAGCCTCTCCATTCCATCATAGTGGGAAAGGCATCATGAAGTAAGTCATGATGTTCATGGTGACAGATAGATGTGATGCTTAGTCTTCATGTGGCCACAGACTATGAAGCAGAGCAGGCACCCAACCAGGGACTGATTATAAAAAAAAGACCTGTCCCTACTGACCTCCATCTACCAGGAAAACCCCACATCTTACAGATTCCATGGCCTCCCCAAAAAGCAACACATGCAGTGGAACAGGCATTCACAGCATGATCCCAGAGGACACACTTCAGCCTCAAAGGAGATAATCCCTTATTGGTGACTTTACCCAAGGAGAGCAAATGTTCCCAGAATCATTACTGCCACCAAAATGGAGAGACTAGTGTTGTATTTGTTGCATACTCTGATGGATAGGTGCCCTAAGGTCATGTAGCAGGTGCCAACGCCTCATTCTTCATTGACCTTACTGACATCAGTTACTTGAGGATTGCCTAGGGCAGGGATGCCACCTAGTTGGTGTGTGTGCTATGATTGAAGAGAGAACTCAAATAAACGTGGGCGGTTAAGGAAATGACTGACCAGTGTGCAGTTTTGACATAGCTCTTAACAGACTCTCTGAGTGAGGCACCACAATACCTTCCTGTGGTATAGCATTCTCAGCATAGAGTTTCAGGACAGTCCCTGGAGCAGCACCCCTTCTGTTCCCCTCTACGCCTTGCATACCAGGAAACCATTTCAGCCTCAACTTCCAGATCCCTCTTGGCAAAAGGAGTTCCTTGACGCCTCACCTCAGCAGCACTCACACAGAATTTCTTTGATTTGGGATTAGTTTTATTTTCTGGTCCTGGGGTCAAACTCAGGCTTTCCCTATGCTAGGCAAACGCTCCATCCTTCTAGCCTTGGTTTTAGATTGCTGTGATTAATTTCTTTAAAATTTGATTAATTTCTTGGAAACTATGACAGTCCTCTGCAGAACAAGTTAGATGGAACAGAAGCAGCATGAGTTTATACTTTGTTCATACTACATAAGAATATCACTTTCAGATAATGTATTAGGTATACTTTTCAAGTTACCAAGACTTAGATTCACACTCTTAATTCCAGAATTTCATCAGCTGATGCAGGAAGATCTCAGGTTAAAGGTCAACGTGGGCTACATATTGAGGTCCTGTTTCAAAACTTCATGATGGTGGTACAGAAATTAAAACAAAAAAAAAAAAAAAAGGTAAAAGAAAAAAGACAGAAAGAAAAGAAAAATGAACTTGAGTGGAGAGCAGTATCACTTAATGATTTTGTAGCTGTCCCCTGGAAACATTTAAAATTGAAAACAGCTTCAATAATGAGAGCCTTCATGAGAATTATAACTTACTCATCATTATAACCCAAACTGGATTTCACTCACTACACTCCTGTACTGTATGAGTTTGTTTCAAAATCCTGGGCCCAAGGAATCCTTCTGCTCCAAAGTATTCACTGGCTATTGGTGAGTTCCATCACATATGACTACAAAACACAATTCTGTTAACATAAATCTTAAAATTTATACCTTGATGCCATTGTATAGGGCTGTTTCACTGTCAGGTTAACCATCTGAAGTATGGTTTCTATTCAATTTGTAATAAACTTTCATAATCAGATTTTTATAACATTCATTTCTTCAGAACATAGCAGTCCATGGGAGATACATTTGTTGACTGTAGCATAAGAGAGTAAACTGGCCATTGTCAGTCACACTGGAGCAAGGTGCCCTTCCATCCAGTTTTGTCTTTGTATGTGGTTTAGGTCTGCAGTAAAAACTGAACAAGTGAGTGGATGCTTGCAGTGTTCTACATTTATATACTCACTTCCCCAACAGCCACTCTCCATAATGGAAACTGTAACACTACAAACACATGTATCTCACTGCATGAGAGTGACTCATCTATGTCACTCTCCACAGCTCCAGGAACTCTCCCCCTACCCAAAAAAAAAAAAACAAAAAACACCCTCTCCCCCTTTCCCCCTTCCCCCCTCTCCCCCTTTCTCCCTTTCTTGGAGTTTCTCACTGTATTTTCATTTCCTTCTTTGTCAGGAATCCTCCTCATGATGTCCATGTGCAGAGAAGTGCACGTGTATGAGTACATCCCTTCTGTCCGGCAAACAGAGCTGTGCCACTACCACGAGCTGTACTACGATGCAGCCTGCACCCTGGGGGCATACCACCCACTGCTCTACGAAAAGCTCCTGGTGCAACGCCTGAACACGGGCTCCCAAGAAGATTTGCATCATAAGGGCAAGGTGGTCCTGCCAGGCTTCCGGGCCTTGCGGTGCCCAGTAATCAACCCCAACAATACACACTCATAAAATCGAACTCTTGGGAACTGATGTGCAATAAGGGACTGCTGTTGTCCTCAAAGTCACAAAAGAATACTTGAAGATAGATTTAGACAATGTGTCGTCTTTAACTGCAACTTAGTGGAAGGGAGAATTCTTTCTAGTGCAAGCCATTTGGGTAACTACTACTGCCATGAATATAGAAATGGAACTCTAAAACCACACAAGAAATAAGCAAAAACAGGATACACAGAAAGAAACAGATGTGTAGCCATGGACACGATACCTCTAAACATGTTAACCTCTACAACAGGGACACTCTGTGGCACAGTTGGGTCCAACCACAGGTTTGAGTGATACTACTGATGGTACTGTTTCCATCTAGAAATATCCAAGTTGAGGCCCTACAGCTAGCATATTACTTGTACTCGCATTCTTCATTAAGAAGCCTGGGTTTTGTGGTGAATGTCTGAATTCTCACTCAGATGTGTTTAACATCAACATGATTTTCAACCACAGCTTTGCAGCTTTGCTTCCCAGCACTCTCTGGATATTACAACTGAGAACCAGGGTACGCTACAGCTACAACTCATCCAAACCAAGTAATGCAAGAAGCCAAAACCAAACTTCTGCTGGCAGCAAGGAACAGCTCCTTTGTCTCCCTGAAGCATCTTTCACCCAGCCAGCAGCTGGCACACACAGGTGGCAGTACAGGTGGTCCTGCAGGGTTGTGGCTGTCAGGTTTCCCTGCCTTTTTCTTTCACTTCATGCTTCTGGCCTTCAAGGACACCCTGTAGCTCTCACATAGCCAGTGACATGTAGAACAGTTACAGTATCCCTGCATTTCTGCATCCTTATTCCTCCTAAACTACAAAGGATGGTTTTGAAGTACCCGTTCTGAGCTGTACAGGATGCACCCCTTTCTGTCAATTCTATATGAAATTGCTGTAGGCTTTTCTCAAGGATTAGAAACAACCCTCTTGTGCTCTGAGTGTTCCCCAGTTCTATTCATGAACATCTAGGAATCCACTCCTATTTTATGTTAAGAATGTGATGGACACAGATTGGTTTTAACATGTCTGACTGATGCGCAGGCAGGAGAAAGGGTTTTTCCCAGTGGATAGCTGTGTTCAGATTCTAAAACCAGGCTTCTATCACTAACACAGCCTTTTGTCTGGGGGTTTTGTTTGCTTGTTTTTTTTTTATGAAAATAGTGGAAAAGAATCATGTTAGAATTCTGTAATTAAACAGGCGAGGCTGTTATTTCAATACCAATCCAAAGAAACTCTCAGTGGTATAGTTAAAAATCTTTTCAAATTGACAATAACAGTTTAATTAAAGGCAAGCTCCACCCCTTGCAAAATGTGTGAGTATCAAGGTTTTGTGGGAGAAGAAATGTTTCATGTTGAGTTTGTTCCAGAACGTTCTAAGGATTACTTCCTAAGGAAGACTGGTTTTCTGAGGCTACTAGCTTCTGTTTGGTTATTATCCCCTGCAGAGTTGAAGCAGGACTGCAGATGCCCCCAGTGGCTTGGAACAGCAGTGAAGAGAGAGGGGTCAGGCTTTCAGTTTTTAAACATTTAAACGTTTTTTTTTTTTTTAATTTAAAAGTAAATAAATGACAGCATCTGCTGACAGCCCATTCTCAGCTCCACAACTATCATCTTCTGTTCAGCCTGGTCCAACCATGTAATCTCATGAAAGTTTGGCCTTGTCACCATATTGACACTTCTAATCATCTCTGTAACTAGAGGGTGCAGCACTGATGGGCTACGCATATTTTCAATCTGTAGTCCTTGAAGCTTTCTAGATCTTCCAGGGTTGCCATTTTAAATGCTCACAACCATTAAGTTTCCTTTTATGGGCTTGAAGGGAATTCAGTTACAGGCATACTTATTATCCTAGACAGTCCTCTTTGAGGGCATGAGAATTTAGTTAGAGAATAACTTATTAAGGTCAGTGTAAATATTCAAGTTCAAAAGCCCCACAAAACACTTCAAAGGTTGTTAAATAGTACTGTTGCCACATATGTACTTTTAAAGGGCTGCTCTCAGATTTACAGGGGTTACAAGGAGACTGCAGAGCATAAAGGAAATTTAATTAACTTCAAATTCATTATGATTCTTGGGAATCAGAGTCTGTTAAACATTCAGAAAATGTGGTGATCATATTAATATACTGTTGGCTAGTCACTCTTGTATTTAAAAGTTTAAATAGCTTAGCCTCTTGCAAATGTCACAAAGCAATGGCTAATGCAATGGTCACCTCTTGTGCTAGTTAAATGAATCCCAAGTGGCCAGATTTTGCCAGACATTGGTTAAATACTTCCACACCACATTTGGTAACTGTAAATAAACCTATGGAATAGCAACACTAACCACCCTCCCACCTCATTTATCACTGGCTCTGGCTCTTGCAGAACTATGTGACTTCTTCTGTGAAGGGACTCTGGTTAAAGCCTCATGGTGCCGCCAGATGCCACCAGGTGCTGCTCATCCCACCCTCAGGACTAACAGATGTCACATTTCTTCGTGTTGCAAGAAAATACCACTGTTTCCTCCTCCTCCTCTTCCTCTTCCTCCTCTTCCTCCTCCTCCTTCTCCTCTTCTTCTTGTTCCTATAACAAAGACTGTAGAGTGGCCCAAGAATGACAATTTAGCCATTTACAGATTCTCTCTAACTGTGTCTCCAACTGCTCACAAGACACAGGAGATAATGTGTAATGAAGATGCCCCCACCACAGATGCACAGAGTAACAGGGTTTGGCCCATGTGGCTGACCATGACCACCACATCCTCACAGAGCTATTTCTTTGTCAGACTCTGGAAGGATAAGTGGGGATTAAATAAAAGTTGCATGCAAGCGTATAAGATATGCTTTAGTGGGCAAGTTAGGGCCTAGAGTCCATCTGAGTTCCCTTGTCTCTGTTGTCTACCTGGTCTCGGAGTTCAAGGTGCTCTGCTTCAGAAGTGGCACTTCCCTTGTGTCTTAACCTCCTGGACGCTCAGCCAATCAACCTGGACTTTCTGAACAAAAGCAGTGCTGCAGTGGTTTCAGAAGTGTTTTCAGAAGTGGATGTCAAAGGGCCCGGTTTACTCTGCCATGCTTACCTAGTACATCTGCTGGAACAGAGTGCAGCCTGCGTTGCCAGCTGACCATACTCCTGTCTTTTGGATTAATTGGGCACTGTTTGATTGCATCATATGAAATCAGTCTTCCATGAATTATGATAGGATAAAAGGCTTTGGTGTGCATTCGTGACTTGATTAAGTTTTACAAGATTTTTCTTAGGACAGTACGGTAGTCTCCATACATGTTCCATCATGCTGTTCATTTCAGTTTGACTTTCCAATAGTCGAATGCCACCCATGGCTACATGACTGTTCAAGGCAGCTTATTAAACATGAATAGGAAGGTAAAACATGCCTGTATTTCAGCTCACTCATTATATCTGGACAATTCCATTGTGAGATTTTTTTTTTCTGCACTTCTGTCATTTGAGCTTTGTTTAGATTTTTGGTGAGTGAGCACCATTTCTCTAGCAGCTGAAGAAAATGAAATACAAAGTTCTAGTTCTTGTTTTGTTAAATGAATGAAGCATTCAACAAGAAAAAAAACTCAGCATATTCTCTACAAGATTAGGGTAGTGACTTTAACAAATTAAAGCTGCTGATAGAGTTCCTATCCTTAGCATAAAAGTATACGTGTAGATGGTTATATAATTGTATATATGTGTATATATACTTATCTACATACATGGTTGATTTTGTATTATCTTTTTCTTTCATCTTTATGATAAAAGCTTTACAATAAATTTTATTTTAGTTATTAAAACACTAATAATATTTTAAGAGGAGGAAACAAATATTTTATTTGTCCTTCTGCTAAAAATGAAACCAGTGTTCTGCCCTCAGCATGCACGCTCATACTCTACATATCTTGGCCACGTTAAAAAAACAATGACCCAAACATTGAAAGCCACCATTGTCAGAACCATTACCCTAGTGTAGTATTCAGTCAGAAGCCTGGTAGAGCTCTGAGTTTTGAAGAGTTTGTTGATTGCCCATGGCTTTTACAAGATTAAGGAAAGAAACATTTGTTGATTCTCTGGAAAATAGATTTCAATAAAATAAGTGCAACAGTAGCATTAAAACCTAAGTTTACAGCACACATCATGTTTTGCTCTAGATAAATACTTGTGGAATCTTTGTACCGAAGACCAGTGAACTTTTTTAAAGGCTTTGGGAATTTTTTGGTATAATTTTTAAAGCAAAATGTGTTCTCTCTAAACTAATTAATGGCTTGAGGTTTTCCAAGAAGCGCATTTTAAAAGTATTTATACACATTTTAACATGTGGGTATTTTCTATCTTGGTTTTGTATATTTTTATGTGTACACAGTGTACAGAATTGTAAATAAAATGTGTTTTCATTTATCTAAAAGTGTCTCTGTTTTAATCCGAAATGTTGCACATACAAATGACTGAGCAGCCTTGCAGTCCTTCCAGAGACAATAAGGTACTGAGGCACACTAGGCCTGGAAGGAGAGGAACAACATCAGCTACCACAGGCCTCCAGAGAGTGCCCAAGGATCTAGGTTGACCAGAAATCAGCTCACGTTTTGATCATATTTCCTTTCCGGTTGATTGTCACATGCAGAAAAATGGCAGGGGTGAAAAACAAGTAGAAACCAAGTGTTTTAGGCTAATATATCTTGACATTGCCTTTAGAACCAAATGTTTGTTATTCTTTTATTATTAGTCTTACTTACCAGGTTTAAAGTCACACCTACAGTAATGTATCACACAAGCTCTGGTCTTCACACCTACTATGGAAAGGGAAAAGGTCCACTTACTAGGTCCTGAAAAGTCATTCTGGGTCATTTGTAATTTTCTGACTATAATGTGAAGGAATCCCCAAATCAGAGCAGGTGTCAAGGTTTTTTGAAAGCAAATGTGGACAGTTGGGAAGCAAACTTGAGAAGCAAAGTTCACTTGGGACAGTTGTGATGTCTTGGAGAAGACCCCTCTTTTTGCACCATTGGTCATGTCTTCCTTCAAAACATGGTTTCTTTCCAGATAGTTAAAAGTGGCCTTCTATACTGGGACGCGTAGGACTGGGAAAGGTTGCTGCTACATGCCCAGGCTCCTGCTCTAATCCTTGATAATTTCACTGCCTCTACTAACTCTACATAATGACATGTCAGTCAACTGAAAGAGCAGGTATTCAACTCTATATACCCTACAGCCACTGTGTTAGTGGGCTGTACTTTCTAGGTTTGTTTAAGTACATACTGGTGTTCAGATAATGAGGAAACTGCCCAATGATATGTTTCTAAGAACATATCCCTATCATTAAGCAAATACACTTTGTATATTGGGATAAGTTGTCCTTTAAATTTTATGGATAATCAGACTTTCCAGCCTCCTGAATCCCCCAGAGCTCTGTCACAGAACTCAATTACATGTACCCAACAAGTACACATCTTACTCTGTTGTAAGAAGCTGGCCTGTCATTGTCCATAGCCCAGTGAAAAATAACTCCATGGGTAGATGACAGAAGGCAACCACTGAATGACATGCTATAGCTCTTTTCCTGTATTCAAACTGAATGTTCTCTTCCGTACTCAGGAAATAAGTCAAACTAACTTGAAGGTTGAGGTTCCAGCTTAGACACTTTTTCAAATCAGAAATGTCGATATATGGCAGGAATCAATGATACTGGAAAAGGCAATGCCTTCTGTCCTCACCGACTTTATTATTATCCCGAGGGTATAGGAAAACATAATAACCAAGGAGTTAAAATAACCCATTCTACAGTTTCATGTTAAAAAGACGATTATGAAGAGATTAAATCCTGAAAGGGAGAACCATGGGCCTCTGGAAGAACCTGAAGATAAAGATTTCCCTGATGGAGTCCACAGCACACCTAAGCTCAGTCCAGGGAGAGCCAGAGCTAACTGAAGAGGCAGTCGATTAGGTAGTTGAGAACTACTACCGAGCAGAACTGTCACTGATAAAGATCCTGCAGCTAGCTTACATGCTTTGCTCTCAACAACAAATCCAAACATAGACCCATGTATATGTATCCTTGGTGATAAAACAACAGCCCTCTTCACACAGAGAGGGTTGAGGCCAGCCTTCTGGAAATGGGCCTTACCTGATAGCCAGACTGACCTACAGTTGCTTACCCTTGAGCACACACAATTGGCCAATAAGAACTAGAAGTCTCTAAGTCTGAATGAATGAGAGAACTTGAATGGGAACTGTCAGCAGGGCTTTACATGTTGTATAGGGCACCCTTTTGCCTTTGGTGAGTCACTTCTTTGTCTTGTTCTTGGTCTATGCTTTGAGTGCATATTCTAATAAAGAAGATTTACTTGTGTTTCTCATAGTCCACACTTTTCAACACTGTTTTCTGGACCTAAGAATCAGGCTATGGTAAGTAACTTTAAAATGTCTCTAAGAAGTTGGTTAATCATATTTTTCTAAATTTCTAAACTTCTTTCTTGGATCTCCTTACCAAGACAAGGTGAAAGCTACCTTGTA